GTTGAGCGGCTAACCCTTTGGCCCTAGAATATATTAGTACTATCTATGTTCGTGATATATGATATACAAACTTACCAGGACGCACAGGCCCCGGAACAAATCGCGCATTCTTTTACGACAGTCCCTCTCGAGATGCCCTGCCTTTGAGCAGTAATTGCACTATATGTCTTAAACATCAGCATTTGTCCAACATTCTAGCAAAACACTTTGAGGAAGCAAGGAGGATCTTCAAGATACAACCGCTATCCTGTCAAGAGAGTTTGGAAGAAACCAGGTGCTTCAAAACGCAAGACAAGAGATACTGTTACTCACACGGGCCATCTCGGCGACGGGCGAGCTGGATGTCCTTGGACTGGATGGTGACACGCTTGGCGTGGATGGCACGGGGTTGGTGTCCTCAAAGAGGGAGGCGAGGTAGGCCTCAACGGTCTCCTGGAGAGTATCGATGGTGGAGGACTGGAAGCTAAGGTCGGACTTGAAACCCTGGGCAATTTCACGGACCAGACGCTGGAAGGGAAGCTTGTGGATCAGAGGCTCGGTTGACTGGGGGAGAAGAGAAAGGGAGAGGGAGGAGGAGGAGAAGAAACGAAAGAGAGGGACATAGGCGTGGGGAGATTCTCAAGACCTCGTGATTCCCCCTCACCCTTTGCTACTAATCCAGTTCTGTCAATTTCATTTACAGAGTCTGCTACAAAATGGCATCTACACTTGCGGATCGTGGCCCTTTCGGGTTGGAATAAATACTGTTCAAAAGCGATAAAGATGGCAGTCATTTTGATATACAACACCTATGTATTCTTTCAATTCGTGGTGTCCTTGAGGCGATTGACCATGGGAAGAGTTGTCTCGCAGTGACGTATTCATCGATTAATGGAGATGCTGCGTCTTGTTTGGAACCGACAGCAGGCCTGCTGCAAGATTCCAACTATCCACCTGTCCAGTTACAATGTTCCTATCTGGTGCCTGACTAGTTGACGATCTCGACCCACTACTGGCTACCACGCTTTCCATCGTGCAAGTTAAGCTGATCTTAGTATGTACTCTAAAAGTAATTTTGCATGGCTGGTAGTAATTACATTTATGTTGACAACGAAGCTTCGACTTGGTCTCGTAGCTGAACTGACTGCCGTACAATTCCACCAGACTATCATCCAAAGATTGAACTTGAAGAAGATCATTTACGTCATGCCCCCTATCGAGATTCCATCCGTTTCTTTCTGTCCGATTCCTTTCTGTCTGATTCAAGTTATCTGGTCGTTGACAGCTGCCAAGACTTCTATAGTTCGAGCCGCTCGACCTGGTGACAAATTCGAACCACCACCACGCAGTCCATAATGGTTACTTCTCGTTCCAAGTAGGCTCATTAGAGAAGGAATATTTTTCTCTATTTTCCAATATACATATTAATAGGGTTTCCTTGTAGAACAGCTTGAGAATGGCTCATAACCTTAAAGCCATAATTCCAAAAGTCCGAGAGGCCTTTTGCTGATTGGACAATTGCCGTAGTATGTTTCTGGTATAGTCTGTGCTTGACAGCCAATCATGCCATGGTCCGCCACACCTTATCTCTATCCTAGAAGTCCTTCGAGATGGAAACATGATACGATACTCCTACCAAAATGTATTTGAGGTGCAGATATTAGTAGACACTATCTATGTAGACCCTGATCAAAGCAATTTAATCATCTTGAACGCCTATCTAGTCCTTTAGCCAAGCAAACTATCGATGATCTAGAACGTATATTTCCAGGGATGTCATTGCCAGCCAGTTCTCCAGCATTTCTTATCCATTGATTGATTAAGGCACCAGAATACTTCATCTTATGAATCCGCCAAGCACTGTCATTTCCATAATAACATCCATCGCTCAGAATAAAAGCACGAGAAACGACGGAAAGAAAAGCTCTATAGCATCCCTAGCAAAACCTTGTCCATTATGGAAAGTAAAAAATCATGGAGTAGGTAGGCCTTAAACTCGGAATATCCCTGTGTACTCGTAGGTACCTCGCAGTAGGTACTTGGTGAAATCAGACAGACAGCACGATCAACGAAACATCTTCAATTTGTTCAAGAAAAAAAAAAAAAACAAAACACACAGACAATTTTTTATTTAAAAGAAAAAGTATCACAGCACTCCCAAGGTTAGCACCGCCATCCCCTGCTCTACCCCACCCTGCTGCTGGTGCTGGGGGGCTCAGCCCCCGCAGGTGCGGCAGCAGCGGCTGCGTAATCTGGTTCGGCATTCACGCTCTGTATCTCCCAGCTTCCGACAGTAAAAGCACTATATATCTTAAGCATCAGTATTTATCTAATATAGAACCCTAAAGTAGCCAAACACTTTATGGAAGCGGGGAGGATCTTCAAGACACAACTTCTATCCTGTCCAGAGGACTTAAAAGGAACCAAGTGCTTCTAAATCAATACAAGACAAGAGGAGCTAGTACTCACACATATAGAGATAGTGGGCAGACATTAGCTTCGCCCAATACCACCCTAGCCTCCTGGTAAGACAGGAGTCTAGATAATCAGTATTTATGTCAAGTATAACATATAGTTGAACGGCTCACCCGGCCCTAATGGCACGGAACACAATCCGCGCATAAGATCGCTCACCCTACGGTGGCACTGGGCCCATTGATGTCCGTTTTTTTAACAGCATCTGCACTATGTTTATTAAGTATCAGTATATACACAATAATTTTATCATATTGAGATGTTGTAGTAAAACTTTAGGGAAGCGATGAGTATCTTCAAGATACTTACCAATAAGCAAAGGTCTCCCAAAAGATCCCCAGCTGGCGCATCATTGAGACTGGGTAGTCTGATCTTAAGTTTTTGGCACGCTCCTTTGATACTTGTTATAACAGACAGAGCACCTACACCCTTTTCTCTAAGCGAAGGGCTCGTCTTTGGAAGCCTCAAGATCTTGCGAGTAGACTCAGGATGATCGCCTGATATAGGCGAAATACAACCTTAGGGTCTGCTCTCTGCAGCCAATGGTATATACCTTTGCGACCCAGAATTCAGAACCTGAAAGTTTGCTGAAAGGGGTGTCTTAAGCATAGTTTCGCAGGTACCTAATAATTCTGTGTATGCTTTTATCGAAGCTCTCTCCGAGAACCTTGTGGTCCTTGTTAAAAGCAATACTGGCAGCCCGATACCGAGTCTTGTCTGAGATAAAACCCTCTACCTCGAGATAATCTGGCTCCTGATGATCTTGTTCCGGCAGGTTATTCTCGATTTTGTTATTATAACCGGCGGCGTCCCCATACTTCAACTCGTCAGGGAACTCCTTGTTATCTATAAGGAGAATGTTAGCACAAGTTCTTGGGTTGAGTGAGACTTGGCTTTCGAAGATATCAGGGAGAGTATACTTAGGAGATAAATCATTGTCTGGATACTCGACGGGTTCTCGCTTCATAGCCTTGGCCTTCTTTGACTCACTAGCGTCCTCCGCTACAGCTTCGGTCAAAGTAAAGTGCTCTCTGGCTGTGATGCAACCAGCTTCTAGAAGCTCGGGTATTTCAGCGGCTTCTTCAGCATGTCTCAGGAAATTGAGGATGTTGAGGTGGTTAGATGATGCCTTCTTCTCGCGCTGTGTTTTATCTCTAATTACGGGGAATTTACACATGTTAGAGTGAAGATTACTCCTCAGCTTCGGAAGACATTAACTTCTAATAGCCCTAAGGGGTGAAGACCTCTCCTCAATCTTAACAGACTTAGTCCGGCATCATTCATCAACTTCGTCACTGCCGTCAGCACTATCACTGTCTTGTTCGGTTTCACTAAGTCCTATTATTCTACGTGAATTTGAATTACTTCTACATTTGCCACCCCGAAATGGAATATCACCTGTTGTGCAGTGCACATTGTACAAATAATAACCTACTAGTGTCTATACGTCAGGGCTATGATAGATACACTGTAAAAATAATGAATTTCGATCAGAAATATTCGTTCCGGATGTTGGTCTCCACATCAATAGTTCGCGTGGCTTAATGACCATATAAACGCTTAAGATGATCCAATTGCTTTGATAGAAGTCCACATACGCGTATACATGTTCCAGGGAGGATGCGAGAGGAGAGAAGGATATTCTTCAAGTAACTCACTACTACTTACTAGTCTGACTGCTATCCAGAAAATAAATAAAATTATCGGCATGAAAATGGTATAATGATCAGAAAAGCATTCAGCCTTGATTGTTATTGGGATAGCTCTTGCTTTGGTCTCTGTCTCCATGTAGTGTGTTGAGTCAAGCGTCGAAGATCTGCTGACGAAAGTTAGCCCTAGTCACGTTATACCAGGCTCACGACATGTCACCATGCAAAACTACAACCTGGACCTACGAATCGCATTCAAGCGTAATATCGACTCATATATAGATGAATCAATAAAAAGGGTCCTGCCTACGAGGTCTACGAACGGTTGTAACCCGAAAATACTCATTATGTTATGCTTTTTGGACTCGCGATGAGCCCATTAGTCTACGGACTATGTGCTCGATATCTCAACGAATTGGCCATAACTTGTATTATATTGTGCCTGACAGAGTTGAATATATGTCTACCAGTTCCAGGGTTAGGGTATAAGGGGATAGAGAAAGAATAGTATAACGTCATTGGCTCCCTAATGGTCCAGGATAGAGAAAGGTTTGAAAGTATGGCGGATATCATAAGGGTGTGGCATACCCATGCTCTTCTAGTCTTATTTCATTGTATTACTCTCCTTCATGCCTAGCAGGTCAGCACTAGAGTGGGGACACTAGTGTTAACCTTTAGTCTTCTGATAGGGAGACGAACAACTTCTACATTATATGCATGAGTTTTGCCGTTTTTCAGGGAAGAGAGGAGGAATAGGTTATATATTATAGGTGAAATAGAATTTCTTTAAACTAGACACTCTGTTTTCTTTACAAATTCTAGCATTGTATCTGTTAACTGAGGAATCTATCTGAAAAGGCAGGAAAAATGTATATAAATCACAAAAAGCTAAGAGATTGCGGGAACGGGGGTTCGAACCCCGGACCTCGTGCTGTCTCAAGGCTGGGAAGCACGCATCATAACCACTAGACTACACCCGCTCTTCTTATTTGAAGCTTAAAAAACAGCAAAATATCATCCCCAGGTTGTATAGCCTCTTGGGGTTTTTGGTCCCATGGATTGGGTATTTTAGGATTAATAGTGGGTCTACATCTTAGTCCTATGCGGGGGCAATGCTGTGGGTCTATTTTTATCTAGTTTCTCTAGTGTTAGTTGTGATTATGGTGGTGCTACCTGTTCTGATATCAAGTTCAGGGTATAACACATCCAGGTGACCAGGTGACCAGATGACCAACTCGATGCGGTGGCAGAACTTTTTATGATCATGTGATTTTCGAGAGTCATTACTTTCTGTCACTTACTGTGTACGGAGTACAATTGAGCAGTATAATTAAAATATTAACAGACGCCGATCATTGGAAAGGCCCTCAATCTCAACCCTTACAATATCTTTACGTACTCCGGTACTGCAAAAGGCCGGAATCATCCATCTGAAGAGCTGTTTTATATCTGCTCGAGAAACATACTACATCTCTGCCAGCGTTTACTGAAGTACCACTTGTTGATAACTTATATCGAATAACTTGATAACGAGTCCCGATGCAACCAAAGCGAATGGGGCCTTGGCCTAGCCTTGTACTAAAGTATATCCAAAACACCAACAAAATCGTGCACATCAACGTACTGCCTATTTTCAGTCATACTTTCACGAATCACTCGATGGCGGACTAAAAGGAATTTTCACCACTTTGTCGCTGAAGCTATCTCACGGGAGTAGACAACCCTAACTAGTAATGACGAGGGACACCTACTCTCAAGATGATAAGTAAGCTTGATCAGTGATCAGTGTATGCAAGATAATCAGGGCCTCTATTGAGGGGGAAAGTAGTACACAGTAGTTCCTCTCGTCCCCGCAATAACAGCCATCCTCTGGCTCTCGTCATTGTGGTGGTCTACACCAGTAATTCAAGTTCAAGTCTCACACAGTGTTACCAGCTATCGTACTTATATAGGAATCTGTACTTTAAACTGGAAAATGTCAAGTCATTCTTCAACTGCGAAGATATTTCGGGAGGATCCCTCAACTTATATCATACCATGGACAAATTACCCTGTTTTTAAGAATAGCACCTGTCTGTTTTTCAAGAACGTTCATGTGGAGTATAATACTGGATCTTACACGAAACTCCTATACGTTCTGCCTCCATAGCCGTCGACTTTCCAGGCTTTACGCTTTATAAGGGAGATAGACTGAAAAAGGATGGACAGAGTGATCTGGTCAAAGATAGGATATCATCTTAAGCGCCAAATTGATCCTTAAGAAAAGAGACCTAGATAGAATATGCGCGAGCTTTTCTAACGCCTCCTAATGAACAAGAGCCCGGTGCTCTAACTGCAAAGATATGCATTGGTTACATCACAAGTCTCAATCACAATACGGGACAGTCTCAGCTGGATTCCACAGAGGAGGTGGCGATGTTGCCGTAGGCCAGGGCTTGGATGCTGTCGTTATAGCTGAGCTGCTGGCTGTGGGCGGTTCGTCCGAGCAGCACCCCGGCCAGTAGATAAAAAGAAGTTCTCATTGTTGTTGGAGAGAGTTGAGAGACGGGAAGAATTCAGAAGATCTGAGCCGGAGATTGAGTGGACAATGGCTTGCTATACCAATGTACTACCTACATGTGCAGCGGGTGAATTTCTCTCTATTTATGTAAAGCTCTGGGGTGTAAAAAGCTCTTGCTCTAGCCTGAACAGGTGCTTGCCCGATGTTCCCGACGTGACCCTGGTCTTGGTCTAATTTTGGGGCCGTCAAAAGTTCTCTCCGCTAAGCAGTAATCAATGAGTCTGTATGTCTCGGAGTTGGAAGATAGCGGGATACAGGACCGGGATATTTCAAGACAACGGCGAATAAGGAAGTATCTACTCTGGAGTAACTCGGGTGATGAGCTTTCGGATGTTACCTAGAGCAGGGTCCAGATAAGGGCCCCAACACCCTAGAGGTTCACCATGGAACTGTGGTAGGGTACGAAAAGAATGTAAAATTCTTACCCTGGTCAATATGGCTATATAGTATAGGTACAGTTAGAGAACGGTGGTGATATTGCCACGGTGGCCCTTTCCTTTCGCACCCTATCACAGTAGCATTAAGGATCCAGGATGCGATGCCTTTCGCTTCTGCCTAGCTCGGGCACGAATCCGTCGATCTAGGGGTCTTGCAATTGCCTGTTATAGCTATAGCTCTTGCAGCAATGACCTAGGATCAAGGGGCTTAGTGTCACTGTAAGCGTTTAATTTTGCATTAGCTGGATTAGCTTGGCATTAGCTTGGTTTTCTTGACCTTGATTAGTCTCATCCAGATTTTTGAGAGAGGGTCGGTGGAGTAATATATGAAGAGAATATTATCCCGTCCACGGAAAGAAAGCGAACAACTTCAGCGTCCTGCTTATACTCACTGTCTGCAGCATACGATGGCATACCAGCCACGCCCACACTTTCTGTTGACTCTCTTTCGGGAACTGTTGAATACCTTTATTCATTCCACAGGAGATGACCCACTACTTGCGAGAACTCATCGATCTTTCCAATATCAACCTGTCCAAACGAATAATATTTTACTATTAGTGCCGATTACTCTAGGGCTTATCCTTAACCTCCTAGTGGGTGACTAATAACGAATCCCTGTTCTTCTCAGAGGCTAATATGGCCTAGATACGATACATTATTGGCCACGTTCTAATGTCTATCTTAATCCTTGAAACTGTAGAGAAGCAGGCCGATGCTTCTGAGCTGGGGGACAAGAAGCCAGCTCCCTCCAGTCGCCAGCTGCTCCAAACAAGTGCCATCCTCTACCGCAGCGGGGGTGTCCGTCTTCTCCTGAATGGCATCGGTTCCGCCTGTACCTACTGGGCGATGCACATCTCGGTGGCGAAAGTATCGACTACTCTGCTTCCCAGTCCGGCCGCGCATATCCTTGCATCAGTCCTGCTCGCTGAGACCCATTTCCTCTGGACCACGCGTACTATCCTGCCGCGTGACCAGCTGCGCTTCGTGTCCAACCCTGGCGACTGCCGACGATGGAAAGCACTGGTGCCTCCCACTCTCGTCTATGCCGCGGCTGAAACGGTGATGATGCATGTGCCGGCTCTACCACCGCCGGACGAGGAAGTCACAATAGCGGGATTATTGTACATTGTGAGATCCGACATCCTGGTATCAGGACTCATGCTCTGTGCCCAGCTGTTTCTCCTCCTTCCCTCTTACATGGTGTTAATCCTGGTCCAGGCCAGTCTTCTGCCACCCACCTGCGAGACGCTGGTCTTTAGTCCGTCGAGACAGCAGCGGGGCAGACGGCTGGGAGAGATCTTCTCGGCGGTTAACCGAAGACCGCTACAAGCACAAGAGGCGGCGCAGATGATTGGCATGGGACGGTTACTCAGTTGTCTGGAACTGCATGGAAAGATGTGTCTATGTTTGGTTGGGGTTGCCGCTGTGGTGCATTCAGTGGTCTACTGTATGTTGTAGAAAGGGTTGCCTAACGATATTCCACTATTTAAGCTTAGATAATATTCCTACTAGCTAGAGTATCTTCTACACTGGGTCAATAAAGAGTGCCGACTGAGATCCCCTCCGGCTTCGCCAGCAGACGAATGAAATGAGCGATGATGAAACGGTAAAAGCCATCTTCCTGCACCAGTGGTGTCTCCAGGAACTTTTGTATCTGAGTGAGTTTTCCAAAGCTCGTTGTGATGTCTAGCAGTTGAAATAAGGATTTAGTAACTCGTCTATAGCTCTTTCTTACTATAGCGTGTGGTAGTCCTATTATATTGGTCCCTTATATCTAGTACGGCATTACACTAAAGTAGTACTACACTCTATCGTTAGGGCTCCTACAGAGCCAAAAGGAGAGCAGTGACGGATTCTAGGACAAGCTGGGTAATATACTAGGATACTTCTCACTGCCCGTTTTCATGTCAGTAGTAATATTTTATTGGGATCCATAACTTGAAAACCTCTACAGATCGCTTCTTACTTAAGCCAATAAGGATCGTCTACAGGCGTGTTGATTTAGCATCCTGAGTTCTTAAGAATAGTATGCTTTGCACAGTGGTATTTTCTATGGGGGACGAATACACGCCCTGTCATATCTCATTAATCTAGACTCTCCAATGGAAAACCTCTCTTTTTAATACTCAAATCCTTGTAGACGATAGCATGGCAATGAAGTAGATGCTATTCAGGCTCTTAGCCCTCTTTTTTTTTTATGACAGCCGTGTCGCAGCTAATGAATGCTACTTGCTATATCATAAAAATCTTCTCAAAGACACCTCCTTACTTGATTAATTTTCAGCCTTCAAGTTGTCCTCGAGGACCTCTTTATATATCTCGCCCTGGTTTTGTGTCGGTAGCGAGTTCACTTATTCTGCTTTTTCTACTTCTAGGCTTTCAATGTGCCTTCGGTGGTCAACAGCTCAAGCCGTCCTCCTTCATCCGTCGTGAAACTCTTGTTACCGGATGAGAAATTGAATAAATGCAAGAATACGGCCACTCCAATTGCTTTGGAGAAGCTTGCCTCAAGTTTCTAGGTGGGCAAACAACTATTGCCTGTCCAGCATTGCAGCATCACGGCAATATGGCCCACCAGCTTATGCAGGAAATAACCATCATGCTATACACGTAACCCAAGCGCGGCAGCACTGGACATGTGTAGATTCACAGCGTATGCTTCTACGAGAATAAGGACGATCTTGGTCTTGGCAGCATCGACGTTAATAGCCATGCCATGTCCATGGAGTTCGTCTTGAAGCAATACCATGACACTGGTGATTGCCATGGTCTTCATGGGTATGTCGACACATCCTGCCAGCCAGGTCCTAGCAGGAACCCCTACAGGAATCAATCCATACCGCAGTTGAAGACCACAGACCATTCTACAACTAATTACGCATTACAAGTAGTCAGTAAAGGATGTATGAGCAGCTGATGGCTCCGGCCACCATCGCACGTAGACCCCCGAGGGAATCCAGCACGGTAGAAGAGCCTTAAG